GTCCATTTGAACTTGTGGCTACTGATCAAGTTCAGGTGGTAATCATGGCCAGGATTTACACAAATCCCTCTTGTGCACTAGTTGCACCTATTCCTAGAGACAAGATGCCTTAGTCACTTCTTGGTTAGACTACAGACTACACAGGGCCATCCTTGAAAAGCATTTTGAAGCTACAATTGGTTCAGAATGTAACAGCACATACTCGGTTTTGAGTGCACCATGGTATGCTCATGTTGGCACTGCAGCTCTGGGTGCCATTAAAAATGCTGGTTGTCATCTGAGGCCCAGCATAGCATAGAGCCAGGATACTTTAGAACTACAAATATCCAATTATTTCACTCAGCCCAATGGTTAGATTTGGCATGCAGAGCCGCCCAGGGAACAGCAAAGGACTGGCCCACAGTGAAAACAGAGCTTGGGCGGGCCACGGGCGGCTCTCCTGAGTTCCATTTTCACTGGCAGAGGGTTGCAGGAGGCTGTCACAGTCAAAAACAGAGGTCAAGAGGGCTTCCCGAACTCTTGTTTTCACTAGTAGAGGGTTTGCAGGAGGCTGTCAGGGCTGAAAACAGAGCTCGGGAGCATGTTTTCGCTGGCAGCGTGCTCAGGCCACCACTGGTGCCCCTAAAACGAATGAGCTGGCTACACCCCCTGACAATGTCTCCTCCCCAAGGTAAAGCACAACCCCGTTGCAGCCCTCAATGAAATCGAGTTTGACATCCCTATGCTAGAGGATCTAAGAATAGAAAATTCTGTAATGTCATGAGATTTGGACAATCCAGTCAGTCTTCTGGAAAGCTTTAGAGACTATGCTTCCTTCTCAGACAGGGGAATTAGGATCTTCATGGACCCCAGTATGTGTGTCTATTCTGAGTCAGGATACAGTTTCGTGAGGAATCTTGGTTGAAATTCACTTTTAAAGACTGTATTGGCTTATAACTTTTATATTGTGTTATGTTGCAATGTGTTTTGCTAGCTACCCAGGTTAAGGTATAAAGTCATATAACTTAAATAGTACCAATTTGCGTTTTAAATTCTTTATTGTTGCTCTAGAGTAAATATATTTTATGGCTAAAACATTGACATTTTGATAACATTGGTAATCTAAGACCAGTTTACAGACCTTTCATATGCCAGCAGCTCTTAATACAATTTATTTATAAAATGGTTGTGTGAAAACTTACTATAGGGGCGATGGGGATTGAAAAAGATGTGGAAATAGCTATGACATTTAATATGTTGAACATATAGCTTATAGCTCTGGTATTATTAAAATTCAGAGAAATCTCTTGGCCTGCTGTGTTAAGTGTAAAAGATGAGTGAAGTGCAGCCAGTTCAAGATTTCACCGTAATTCCATTAAAAAAATAGGAGGGAAGATGTTCAGCCATAAAAAGAAAAGAGGGTCCAATTAGGAAATTTGAAAAACAAAATCTAATTCATTACATGGAGTAGAAGCTGGGGGGGAGGGGGGCTGCTTATGGTCAAGCATGGACTGATTTCACAAACGTTCTTCAGTTTTCATGCTAAAAGTATTCTCCTAATTCAGATTTTGAGAAAGAAGACAAACATTAATAGAAAAACCTTAACGTTTCTTATAGTAATAATCCAATGGGGAAATTTTAAACATTATTTCTATTTTCATACAAAGGGAAAATGAATTTCTATACTTCATCCAGTTTCACGTTGCTTTGCCTGAGCATTTAGCGGTTAGGTTTGCAGGGCAGCTTAAAGCTGAATTGGAGATGGACTATGATTTCACCATATGACAAACAATTCACAGGAATGGAATCCTGAAGATAATTTAGGACTTGCAAAAGGACAGTGGGGTCCAGCTCAGTTACCTTTACTAGCACCTTTACTTAGAGGTAAGCCTTATTGACTTTTGGATTTCCCCAAATATAATAAGTTTTAATAGTTCAAAACTGACTATCTTCATTTATCCGTTTTGTTTTTTCTTTCAGTAGATCAAAATATTTGTTGATTTTGATGACAATAATTGCATCAGCTATTTAACTCTATATATAATGGTAGAGAAATGAAGATAGTCAACTATTAATTGCGTAATAACTTGGGACTTTCAAATCTCATACATTATTTATAGCAAGGCACTGTAAGAATCACAGTCCATAACTTTTAGCTCCCTAGTTTGCCCAGCAATTTAGAGCTACGTATTTAAACAATTCAATGGATATAAACTTTGATTGGTCAGCAAATGCTTTTCCAGCGTGGCTGCAGAGGCTAGCTGCGAGAGGAACATTGATACATTCAAAAATTAAAAATTCAATATGAACTTTTGTCCTTTACAAGAAGAGTACAGTGCATTAACCAAAACAGCATTAAGAAAAATTAATTCTCATGCAAAATCTCCTTCCACTATGAAAAATTTATGGCACATCTGAAAAGTGCTCACAAACAACACCCATCCAAACAGTACATACACCAGTTAAATTTAATATCTGTTTACATTGGGTAACCTGCGTCTATTAAAAAATTGATGACATGCAAGTTCTATTAATTCAAGTCCACCAAACAGCTTTTCTTGCACAGAGAAAATGACAACTACAACCACAAAATACCATCGTACAAAGTTGTACATGTATAACAGTGCAATCGAAAAGAGTGTGAAAAATGTCCAATACAAGAGGGAAATGCACTTAACAACCAAGACTCTGAGCTCAGATTTACAGGGTGGGATTTTGCTTCTCCCCGACACATCAAAGTATTTTTTGCCTTCATAGAACTGGCGCAGCCGTTCTTCTTTTTCTTCCCAGCGCTTCTGACACCAGAGTTGCAAGTCTTCTGGAGAGGTTGGCAGGGATTCTACAGAGTATCTGCAGACGTGAAAATGAATTTCCTTGGGAAAATTTCCACACAGAAGATGTTTCTCAGTTTGTGGAATGTTTTGAGGATATGCCACTGTTATGTCATGAACAGCATCAAGGTTATTACCTAAAAAGAAATATAATTATAATTATTAACATTATAATACCATCCTCTCCTCCCCTTTCTCTCTCTGACAAACATACCTAACTTTCTTGCCTCCTATTTTCCCCACCGCTACCACACTATGAAATGGCTTGAGATGACAGTGACAAGCCCAAAGTTATCCAGCCAGCTTTCATATACAGTATCTGTAAGGTCCAGATAGACAGAGAAATGTTGCTGAAGGCTGCCTAGTGTGTAACAGAAATCTGATCTAGTGGCTTAAAGATGTACTAAATCAGAAAAGTTAATTAGATTCTTCAATGTAGGACTGGCAGATTCAAATATTTCCAGAAAACTATCAAGTAAGGTATGACAGATAATGCTAGGCACACAGGAGAATAATCACCTAAATTGCACAACTTCATTCCACCAGCAGGTCTAGGACAACTTACCGCAGCCAACTTGTAATGGCCATCTTGCTACGGCCAACGTGGCACAGTCATCTTTAACCGTGGTAAAGGTTTAATTTGTTGTTTAAGAACTGTGGTTTTTCATCCTAGATATACTTAATTTATTGATTTTATTTTTATTTGTGTCTATTTCTGCATTTATAAAGGAAATAAATTAAATTATTAATAAAGTTGATTAATTTAACTAACATAATTAAATACTATTACAATAGGGTTTTTTTAAAGACAACATAGGAATATTAGGAGAGCCCATTTTCAAGAATTCAATTTTCTGCTACTTAAAATATATTATTGTTTGCTAAAGTTTTAAAATTTTAATGGTTTGAGATGAATCTTGTAAGTTAAACCATAAGCTAACAAATAAAATAATTTAAAGCTATACTTACAGTATTTATTTTATTCTTTTTAAAAAATGTTATCTACTGAGTTGGTCTGAAAACGTTTCTAAGTAAAAAAGCTGTACTAAATTAAATGTACCATATGAATAAACTCTTTTGAAGTGAAATTCAAAGACTGAACTTTTTTCCCAACACATGCTATTGCAGCTGGGGTTGAAAGAGTCGCATATGCAAACGATATTGAATATTTTAGAGGCAAAATTCTATCTTGGGCTATTTTTACAAATATGGAGAGCAATTGTTAAAAAGTGTACAGAAGAAACTTTGTATGTGAGATTGTATGCAGCCCTTTGGAACACGACCCAGTTTTTATCAAAATAAACCTCCACAATATTCATGGGATAAATCCATAGTAAAGTCATATATTGAGTTACAAGAATATTTTAAAGGAATAAATGGAGATGTCTGCTTGAAAATAGTGGGCTTTTGCTTTGCCAAAGTATTGTACCCAAGTGGTACTTTAGATTCAGTTCAACCTGCTATTCAGAAGATCAAGTACAAGAACTCAGCTGGTACATCAGTTACAGCCTACCTGGACCAATAAGCCTTAGAAAATGATTATCATCCTTATCATTCATGTTTTGTCTCCTTCAATGTGTTCGGCATGGGTATACTTTGAAGATGGGTCAGAAATTATAGCTGGTGCAAATTGAGCAACCAGATTGTAAAACAAAGCCCATTCTTCTTTTTAAAATTGTTTAATTTATTTTCTATTAAATACATTTCTTAGTGCTTAGTAAACATTGAATTGTCTGGGTATATAATCTCCTTAACAATACAAATTACATTCTTAATCTCAGGCCCTTTTTTCCAACCATTGGTAAAATAAATTCTATGTTTAATAATATCCTACATCCTCTTTCTGTTTAATTTTCAACGTCAATTTATCCATTTATGCACAATCTAGTATCTTCTTGACTATTTCTTCATCGTGGTATATCTTCATTTTTTCTGAATATTATGCAAAAATAATCCTTGCTGCTGTTAAGATATGTAATATTAAATACATACTTTTCTTATCAAGTTTTTCTGATATTATATTACACTGAATAAAACAATTCAGATTTAAAATGTACATGTTTTCCTATGATCTTTGCTGCCCACCTGTGTATCTTCGGCCAAATTTTTGCTTTGACAAGCTGGGGGGGGGGGGAAGAACAAAGCCAATTCTGGGGTTCTATACTGTCTACCTGTTGGTTTCCAGGCCCCAAAGTGCTGGTTATAAAGCTATGTTTGACCTAGTACTTGAACCACTTTGCCAAGCATGATTCTCCTAGTCAAATATCAAGAGGAGTCATTCAAAAATACCTCTTCTCCTTTTCAGTTAAGAGCAGTGGGAAACTGAAGAAGGGAATCTTAGCAGTGACTTGATCATTAGGGAACCCAGTCCCCAGAGGGGCATCAACTCCAACTCCCCTTTCATTCTGGATAGCCCTTAAAATCATTTCATTTTGCGAAGCTTGAAGCTCAAAAAAAGACTATGGACATGTAGCATCAGAAATCTCTCTCTCTCTCTCTCCCTCGCTCTTCCTTCCCACTACCTTTCCCTTTCTAGCAGACAGGTAAGTGGTGAAAGATTGCAAGACTTTGTGGGAAACACAACAGTGAAAATGAAGATCATGTGACAGCAGCAACAGCTAGTAAAACTGAAGCAGCCACAACCTCCCCAAATTTCATTTCCTTGCGAGTCATGGGTCCTGGATTGTGGACACATTTGATGTTACCCCATTTGAAATAACTTGGTTCAAAAAATGTTGCACTTTGTATCACACTGACATCCAGCTAAAGATCATGATAAGAAGAGTTTTAAGAGTATATAGATTGCATTCTCTTCCTTTAAATGTTTTAAAATAAATAGCTATTGCTGCCAGCAAATCAGCGATAATAGTTATACTTAAAAAGATGTGAAAATCTGCTGTTTAGATTACTTGTTATAAAAAACATGAAGAACCAATTTCAACAGAAATCATAATGCAAATTACGTGTAAAATGAGATAAGTTTTTTTCGTTCCAATAAAACCTCTAGATACAATAGCATTGCCAGATGTTTCATCAAGATCTAGACTTGAATTTTTCAACAGTCCTTTAAATCAGCCGCTACAGAATGCCTGTAGTTTCTTCCTGATCTTTACAACTAGATTTTAAGCATCATCAACAATCCTTTGAATAGCTTTAAAGTGAAAGACTGAAAGGCTACATGATATATTTACATATTCATTAATGTGACAATTAAATTAGATGTAATAAGATAGCTAATGGTTTTTTAATTCAAGTTTACTGTGAATGCCATAGCTATTATATAATAATCAAATTCTGAAGAACGAAGTAAACATTCCCTAAACCAATGGGGTCTTAGACATCGATACATCAGGATTCTCTTTTGCCACCAAAATTGCTTCTTGAAAGGAAAGTCCTGTCCATCAGAGTGATTTATGACTTGGAGGGAGGGGACGGTCATTTCCAGCTGGATCAGCAGACAGAAGACATAATGAAGCTGGTGCAGGAGTTGTAACCCTACTTGGGCAGGAGGACTTAGCTATATGCCTTCATTATCTGGGTGCCCTTTTAAAACAACTAGGAAACTACAGCTCATCCAAAATGTGGTGGTGCGTGAGACATGGAAGCATGTAACATGGATTTCATGCCAACCTTGGTTGTGGATTTGTTTCTGGGTACAATTTAAGGTGCTGGTTTAAACCAACATACATCTTTATGACTTGGAACCTGAGTATCTGCAGTACAATCTATTCTAAACAGTACTAGTTTGACTAATCAGATCCAACAGGGAGAAATTGTTAGTGATTCCCCATTTTCAGGGCCTTGAACCAAGAAGAAAGGAGGTGCTGCTTCTCAATGGCAGTGATGAATTTTCTTTTTCTTTTTCTTTCTTTTTCTTTCTTTTT